CCCCCCGGCCTCAGTTTCCCCGGGCTGGCCCTGCGGGTGCCTCTGCCCTACTTGCCGCTGTTGGGGGGCAGCCGGCCATGCTGTGGGACCACCTCTGCGGGCGCCCCCAGTGCCATCCCCCCACAGAGCACACGGACGGTCCTGGGCTGTTTTGGAGCTCACAGGGGTGTCGCAGATTACAAACCACTGGTGGTGGGGACAAGGCTGGAAATTCCAGGAAAACTAAAGCTTTGGTGCATAGCTAATGGAAAGAGTTGAGGGACGGGGGAGGACCACACTTCCATCTCCAGGGTAGTGGAAACACTGCAAACAGCTCACTGCAAACCGAAAACTGGTGGTGCCCAGCAATTGCACAACTCCAGAAATTCAGGTTCAGTGCTGGGAAAAGCCCGGCTCCCCTGTGCTCACCTCCCTGCCAAAGCCCCTTGAGCACGGCCAGAGCCCCACGGGCACCAGGGCCACTACCCGGGGAGCCCCACCACGCGCCTCCTGGGCTCTGTGCCCCTGCCTCAGGGATGGGAGCTTGGGGACCTTCCCCATCGTTGCTGCCTGTCCCCAGCACCTGCTCCCAGCTCTCACCCCCAGGCAGTCCCGAAGCCAAAGAGGCTGGCAGGGTAGGCTGTGCTCGCCGAGACCTGCTCGGATAACATTATTTCTCAGCCCACACGGATGCAGGAGCTCTCGCTAGGGGAGTGCAGGGGAAGAAAGGGCCATTCATTGCCATGCTGGGTCTGCACCAGCCCCGCAATCCCTGTGTGCAAGAGCAGCCCTCCGCAGGGCAAACCCACGCAGTGCCAGCGGGTGCTCAGAGGGTCCTGACAGGGTTCATCCCCATGGCCCAGGTGAAGGCTGAGCTGTCACCGCGAGCTAAAGAGTGGAGCAGCTCCTGAGCCTGGCTCCCTGCAGCCTTTGGGCCAGGCTTAGGTACGGAGGTGACCAGGTCACCCACGGATAGCCTGGAGCCCACAGCACGTTCCAGGACCCACAGCAAGAGGGTGCAGGTTAGGGCAGCGGCTGGGAACCTCCACCGTCCCCATCCCCACATAGGCACGGGCAGAGAGGCCGGCGGAGGGAGGCTTAAACTTTAACGGGCAGCCACACAGCGAGCAGCACTCATGACCGACGTGCTGGGAGAGGTAGAAAGGGGCAGAGGGAGGTGGCAGACAGGGGAATGGATGGAGGCCAGGCCAGGGCCCTGGGAAAAAGCCAGGGAGCTGCTGTCCTACCCCTTCCCTCTTTTAGTGACCCTTGTTGCTCTTTTTAATGGTCGTGGCCCTGCTGTGTGACCCAGGGGCCCCGAGCCAGTCTGGCCCAACTTCCCCCTTGCCCAGAGGCTGGCCCAGCAGGTCCCTGTTTCACACAGCTCATGCAAAGGCTGGGGCTGGCACTGCCCAGGCTGGTAACTGCAAGCAGCCCATGTGCAGAGAGGCCATGCTCAGGCTCACACTGAAGCTGATCATTAAAGCCAAGGCCCAGAGCAGCCCCTCAGAGAAGGGGGGAAGCAGGGCTCCATCCCAGCCCCACTTTGTCCCGTAGTAGCAAAGCTACGGGGCCTGTCCCAGGCGTAACAAGCAAAGTGCCTGAGGCCTCCTTGCTTCCCCTGTGCTGCAGCAGACCCTGCATGCAGAGAGGGGAAAAGGAAGGCAGCAGCAAGGAATACAAGATGGACACTGGAAGTCAGGGCCCACATCACAGCCCTGCAGACACACAAGCAGCCACAGAGAAGAGCCCCACAGGTCTGAGGGGGGAAGGAAGTGGATGCTAATGGCATTTTTGTTATTAAGACCAGGGCCTTTGCCTCTTCCCTAGAGCTCATAACTACACAGGAGTAGGGAACAAGGAACAGGACTCAAATTGCACTCTAGGACCTCAGTGCAACTGGGTAGAGGGTAGTTTCTGCTCCTACCACAAACACCATAGCACAACACCCCCCCCCAAAAAAAAAAAAAAAAACAAAACAAAAAAAAACAAACAAAAAACCAAAACACATGACGCCAAGCCTGTAGTCAAGGCCTGCCCCACAGCTACTCACACAGACCTCTGCGCAAACCAGCTAAGGTTAGGATGAGCTTTGGAGGAAGACGGAGAAGACTATAGGCACATGCTCAAAGGAAGTACAAAAAGCTCAAAGCAAATACGTCACCCAGGACAGACAGTTGGATAATCATTTATTAAGAATTTAAATTAAAATGATTTGCCATGTAAAATCTGTTCCACT